ATGTAAATTATTCTTTCATTGCCCTGATTAAATATCAGGTCACAAGAGTAAAAAGAGTGTAAAATTCTGGCTCCTAATGTTGGCACACTTTGTCAAAATATACCCAATCTAAGGACTTTCTTGTGGAAAAACAGCACGCTTTTTCTTTTAATTAGTTTGATGTTATCCAGACTAAACTTTTTTTTTTATTTTAGGAGAACTTTGTGTAGCCGGAATAGTGAAAACATGCAGTCTGGCTTCCTCACACATCTGTCTGAGCGCAGGCCAGCTTGGGCTCTGTGATCACACTACGGGGACACAATTTCCCTCACGCTGTAAGATGTTACAAGCGAAGTGCTTTGTTTTCGCAGCTGAAGAACGTATCCCCGAATATATATCACTTTGACAGAAGCCGACTGGAGTAAATGAGTATCGAAATAAAACCGTATTCGTCATTAGTCGGTTTTCACGACCTGCTTTATTGTTCGAGACAGCGCTCGGGAAAAATGCAGTGTCAAATGGACTTTGTTGCATTTTAGCAGCTGCTTTTCATTCAAAGCGACTTGAGTTACTGCGTTTGATTATCGCTTAAGTTATTCAATTCACATTTTATTTGTATAGCGCTTTTCACGATACACATCATTTCAAAGCAGCTTTACAGAAAGTCCACATTACAATTTATGCCTTAATTAACAAAGTATCAATGTCTTTGCATTACATATCAATATCAAACCAAGTTACACTTATTTAAATGAATGATAGTGCCAATCTCTCAATGCAAACCGTTTTTAGAAACATGTACATACAACATTTGTATGTATTGAGACAATTGATTCTGGGAGAACTTGAAGAGAAATGAATTCATACATTTACTAAAAATCACAATAAAAGCAAATGTTATGAAGAAAGGTGAAGATCCTGCAGCACAAATGACAACATTCAACTCAATTTAAGCTTTTTTTTAAGTCAGTTTGATGCAATTTAAGTTGAAATGACTTAAACATCCAAGTTAATTATACTATATATATAATATATATATATAGTATTATACTATTAATATACATTTAAATATATATTATAAGGTATATTACAAGGTTTACAATTTACATAATATACACACTGAATAATACAATAAACCAACACAATTAGAGAGGAAATATAATACATGAGTGAATTAAAAATTGATAAATGACAATTTGCATTGTAATAAGCACTATGAAAAACTACTGCACATGTTTGTAACCATAACAAAAAGGGCAGATATAATATGTGTGTGTGTGTGTGTGGGGTGTGAGGGCAGGGTTTGTCGCTTTAGTCCGAGCAGGTGGGCTCTTTCTTGTTTGCTTAAAGCTGTGTGTGTGTGTGTGTGTGTGTGTGTGTGTGTGTGTGTGTGTGTGTGTGTGTGTGTGTGTGTGTGTGTGTGTGTGTGGCGCAAGACATAATGTGTCCATCTTAAGAATGTGTCTGTGTCTGTCTTGTCTCTAGGGTTCTGATCATCTCTTAGTTTGAAATTGTTGGCGACGACGTTCTTCTGGTGATAATAGTTGTGCCGGTTCAGTCATGGAGATTTCTGGACACATCTAAATCATGCGTAAGATTCCCTTTAGCAACCTCTCAGAAGACAATACCAACCACATAGGATCATCCTGGTATCATGGTGGGAGTTTTACATGGGCAGACAGCACATGTAATTGTCGTTATTCACTTAGCAAAGATTTTATCCAAAGCAATCTATCATGCATTTGTAATAAAGGGACATTTGCCCAGATTAGAGTTTAAAGGAGTAGTTCACTTTTAAAAAAAAACTTTTGCTGATAATTTACTCACCCCCATGTCATCCAAGATGTCCACGTCTTTTTTTCTTCAGTGGAAAAGAAATTAAGGTTTTTGATGAAAACATTCCAGGATTTTTCTCCATATAATAGACTTCATTGGGAACCAAACGGTTCAAGGTCCAAAAGACAGTTTCAGTGCAAACGATGACCAATGAACGAATCTTTTTCCGAGTTAATTCGTTCGTTGAATGAACCAAATGACACGAAAAAAGATTCGTCCATTTTGATGAACGAGTTCGAACAGGAGAGTCACGAACGGGCATCACAGAACAGAGCAAGTCGAGCATTTGAGCTTATAAAACTTAAACTTTGTTATTCATTTATTAAATGAGTGATCGTTTCGCTTGATAAGACCCTTATTCATCGTCTGGAATCGTTTAAAGCCCTTTGAACAGTTTGCAGTTTGTACTGAAAGTGTCTTTTGGACCTTGAATCTTTTGGTTCCCATTGAAGTCCATTATATGGAGAAAAATCCTGGAATGTTTTTATCAAAACCATTAATTTCTTTTCGACTGAAGAAAGAAAGACATGGAGATCTTGGATGACATGGGGGTGAGTAAATCATCAGCAAAAGTTTTTTTTTTAAAGTGAACTACTCACTTAGTAGTACTTAGTGGTTCATAAATCACCTCTTGCACGATTTGAACCTGCAGCCTTTGGATTAGCAGCCGCCCAGATCTGTAACCACTGAGTTTACACCCTGACAGACATCAGGTCAAGCTCCACCTGCACTGCCCGAGGAAGGCATTTTAATCCTCTTTCTCTGTCTGTTTCAGATGGCATGGGCATTTGCTTCACACACACACACACACACACCGTCTGAGAGCAGCTCAAAATCCGGCGCAGAACAGCTTGAGCTGCAGCCAATCTTGATAAACTCAGCCGTACTGAAATCCCGCCTCTGTATTGTGGGAATGTGTGTTGTTTGCTAACCTGTCAGTTATTCTATTAATCAGAAATCTGGCGTTGATATCTAGCGTGCTGATTCTGCTAGAGCCGCGAAGTGACGCTATCACAGGCAAGAATGCAGTTTCTGATTGAGCCAGAAAGTCGCAGAGTTTGGTATTTAACCTTAAAATCATGTCTCATTATTGTTTATTTAATATATGAATGATTTTCTCTGGGTCCTTAAATAGAGCACTGCTCATTGGCTGCGTATCTTACATGGCAAATTGAAACATGCATTATTTATTCATTGAAAATGAATGGAGGTGAAACCTAAGAGTCTTACTCCATAGGTCTGTTAAAGACTATTACGTACACTAATTAATATTACTTGTTAATTTTATTATATATTTTAAATGAATTTCCCCTTGTTTGTAAAGCTCTTTGTGCTATGATAGTGTGATTGTGTATTAATGGTATAGCTAAAGCCAGCATCAGTATTTCACATATTTGAGGTTAGTGTTTTGAACAAAAATAAAGCAAAGTATTGAAATGTGGCACAAAATAGACTTACAAATAGCCTATAAAAATCGAAACAGGGTCCAGGATTTTATATCAGAATTGTGGGTTTGTTGTTTTGACTGTTATAACTCTATGCATAGAAATATACTCAATACACTCTTTAAAAAAAGGTTCCAAAAGACTGAGGGTTTTCAGTTCTACAAAGAACCATGTTTTAGTGTGAAGAGCGTTCTAAAAAACTTTTGTGCGATGGAAAGTTTCCATACACTGTAAAAAATGATTTTTTGGTGAAGTAAATACTACTGAAAAAAAACCCAATGTAATTTACATGAAAAAGTTAGTTCAGGCAAGAATTAAAAAACTAAGTAAATTCCATATCAGCACTTAATTCAAGCGAGTAGAAATGAAAGTGTAAATATCAACTCAATAAAATTAAGTAAAAATTACTAAACTTTTCTGATACTGGGGTTCCCATCATGCACTGGACCTTGAATAATTAATGAGGTTCATTTTTCACTGGTTTTCAGCTGTATTTACACATTGATTTTTGTTGTCACTGTTAGTAACTTGCCATTTTGTGACATTTCGAGTCAATTTTTTGCTCAAAATGACACATTCAAACACAAAAACGACCCATCAAATGTTACCGCCATTGTGTAGCCTAATGTCTACCAAGTATTGAGGTCTTGGCATTCACACAATGCTTAACATCTGACATGATGTATACATTACTTAGATGATCTATGTAAAGCACATACTATAAATGTCTAATAAAATTCAATATTATTGTTTTAGTGAAATGTAATGGAAAGGCAAAGGAAATTTCAACTGAATTGATATCAACCTTTTACTACCAAGTTAATTACTTATTTTCTGTAAAGTTTAATTTAAAGATTTCTAATAAAAGCTACTGATAAATATTTTTAGGTTTTTACTTGACGAATCTTTGTAAATGTACTAGGATTTTCTGAGTGAAAAAGTTGCCTGGCTTTTTTCAAGTAAATCCTACACTAATTTTTTTCCAGTGTAGGTTCCTATGAAACCAAAAATGCAAATAAAGAACCTGGATTTTTAAGACTGTATGGGCAACTCACATTTTCTTCTGAAATTTAAAAAAATGTATTTATATTTTTATCAAGTAAACCCGTAGAATATAGTAGCCTAATAATGGGGTATTTGATAGTGGAGGTTGTGGAGAGAGAAATGCTGATCTCGGAACAGTGTGTTTCTCTCGAGGAGCACAGGTGAGTGAGCGCGTTACCTGATCTTTCCTCTTTCCCTCCATTAGCCTACAACTCGTAATCAACGAAGAGTTCTCGCGTGCAGGAGATGGACTTCCATACGTAGGCAGCCAATCGACCAATCAGAACGCTCCTATTATAAGTCTGCGGCGCGCGACGCGCTCGCTTGCGCTACGGCTTCGTGGATTATGGGATCGCGGGAGTTTGTCGCGTCGCTCGCTTGTAGAGTATCATGTGATAGGGGCTGGAATTTGACACCTCAGGGGTTGAAAACTCTCATGTGTTTATGGGACTTGGTTTTGGCACTGGCTCCTGCGTTCAGAGTAGCCTACTAGAGAGCGTCTCTCGTGAGGAACTGTCCTGTCCTGGATCTTGCGTTTAAGACGCGTCTGTGTCCGTCAATAGGCTACCGTAGTTTCTGCTCTCAGGACAGGTTTATGTGAAAAACGTGGATGTTCAGAATTATGCATCATCACTACAAGGAGAGGTCGAGAGGAAACATTTTAAGGAATACACTTTCATTATCTGTGGATTATTTTCACTTATCAGTTTCTTAATTTATTTCACTCAAATCCATGACAGGAGAGGTCGATCAGGACAGATACGGTATGTTTTGCTTCTGAACATCTTTATTATTTCATTTCAATCATTTTATAGTGGCGCTTCTTAATGACTGCATGCACATTATCTTTACATTAATTATATTTAAATGACAATTTATCTATATTTATATTATATACATTTATGTTGGCGGAATCTTTCTTAGGCTACTTGCTAATTGTGGCTCTTATCAGAGAAAATGCATGTCATTTGAGCTGTTTCCCTATATTTATTTATATGATAATCTAATAATCTCACTAATTTAATTTCTTGGTTGCTGATCACCAGAAATCATTTTTCGTCATTTTTCGTTTTATCATTTTTTAAAAAAATAAAAAATGTAACAATTTCCCCTTTAATGTTTCCTTTAAATACATATCCAAGTCATAGTTATTCTTGGATCAGCTGAAAGGTGGTTGATCCCTGAAAATGAAAGCAAAATAAAAGCTGCTTGACCTCTCAATCTTATACAAACATGTTGGAAATGTACCTGAAAATACTTCATTAAGTGTATCCCTCTGCTTATTTGACAAGCTTCTTCTCTGGACTGATCTGATGATTGGTTATGGGACTGACAGTAAAAGAGCTGTTTTCCTGTCTGGAAGGGATGAAATCCGGGAGAATCCCAGGACTTTTTTCTCTTATTATGGCCATTCAGGATTTTTCAAGACTTATATTTGACTATGAAGATCTTCTTCTTAGATATACTGTAATTACAAATTCTCAGTTGTCAGATCTATATGATTGTGATCCAGGTGCATCTGTTGTTTTCCATTTGGTACAGTATGTTCTGCTGGAACCCTCCTTGTAAGTATATCTTTTTAAAAGATTTTGATAGGAATGCGCAGAGATTCTCACACAGAAACAGTCCCATATGTATTCCTACAGTATATTCCACCCATCTGGATGAGTGTTTGTTGAGCAGGTAATATTGCATTTCAGTATCAGATCGCAAACACTTCCAACTTGACTGCTGGTTACTATCCTGTAATATAAAATGATTCATTTATTTATCTGTTGGCAAGGTTTAAGTGATTAAGGCAATTCCTCTCTCTCTGGTTAATTGTTATGTAATGTATTGAGATTGAGCAATGCTGAGTCATAAGATGTACAGGATCATGATGTGCTTTACTTGCTGATCGAGTTTTGTGGAACCCCTGTTTTATCATAGAGGTGGGTCTCTTTAGTTTATGATCTGCCATGCATTCATGAGGAAATGTCTTGAGCGTGCTCAGTTGATAAATTGGGTGTGCTGACACTTAACGCTCAAGTGCCTGAATCACACCTGCTTTAAGAGACACTAATGCAGCCTTTCAGTTCTACTGTCTGCTGAAAGCTGTAATACCGTCTAATCACTTCTAAACTCTCTGTTTTTGGAGAATGGCTCACCGGCGATTGAGTTTCCACGTAGTCTCTGTTTACTTTAATACTGTGTTATAGTGGTTCTCAACAGCTTTTGGTCCAGAAACCAGATTTGATATGTTTTTTTAGGGCTGTCAAACGAGTAATCGGGATTAATCGTATCCAAAATAAAAGTTTGTGTTTACATAATATATGTTGGTGCATTGTGTATAATTATTATGTAAATATATAAATACACACACATGCATGTATATTTAAGGAAAAAAATATTATTTATATATAAAATATGTATATTTATATATAATATAAATTATTTATACATGAAAATATTTATTAAATATATACAAGCATGTGTGTGTTTTTATATAGGCCTATATAAAATAATTATACACAGTGCACCCACATATATTATGTAAACACAAACTTTTATTTTGGATGCGATTAATCGCGATTATTCGTTTGACAGCCCTAGTTTTTTTTGTATAGTTTTTTGATGTCCTTAAAATCCAATTCTGAGTTATAAAAACTAATTAACATAGTTAATTATTTTATAACTTTTATAAAATAGCTTTAAATTTAAAAAAATATGAAAAAGTTAATATGATATAAAATCATTCAAATTATATAAATATAGTTTTTTATATAAAATTTAAATATTTAAATATAAAATAAATTATTTAAAAATTGTCTATATGAATAATGTGATAAATGCAGAGTTTGATTGGACAACTGAAGAAACTTTCCACCTTTTTTAAAGCTAAAAAATATTTTGCTACCCAGTGATTTTCAGTTTGCGAAGGTGGTTCCCATCATTGGGAATTTTATGGATTTAGTTTTAATCAATTAATTTTGTTTTGATTCATTTTTAATTAAATTTTATGAATCAAGCAGCTTTTAAACATGAAAAAATTGAAATAAGCCATTAAACACGAAAGTATTAAAGGCATTTCACCTTTTAAACCTTTCTAACAATTTTTTTTTTTTTTTTGATAATGAGTCAAGATGCATAGAGTTCTGTATAGAACCTTTTTTCTGAAAGGGAAACAATTATATGGTTAAATGCATTTTACTTTAGTTTGACATTTTGCAACCATGGATTTTTCCATGTAAACTGTTGGTGTTTGAATAGCTCAGGTGTGTTTTCAGTGTTTCATTTCATTTTGATGAAGCGACTACATGGCGAGTGTAGGTTTCATGAGTCTGAGAGCGTGAGTGTCAGGCGATCACACGGGACACAGGAGTGCTGTGGTGTTAGTAAGAGTTATGGGCCGCAGTCACCGCGTGGCAGTCCACCGCTGGATAATTTATTACAGGCTCCACTAATGAACCGACTAGTTGTGCAATAATGAGAAACACCTTATCCAGGGTCGGAGAGAGGGTCAGATTCTTACATAAAGTTCAATACTAGTTGTGTATAGCCAAGTTTTTGGTGCACGATATACAGATTGTTTTGGACATGAACAGACAGGAAGAGACCGTCTGATTGTTTAGGTTTATGTGGGGGAAATAATAGACCATGATGGAGAATTTAATTAGTAATTGCACTAGAAAACACGAAAAGAAAATGTTTATGTGATCAAAAATGATGTCCATCTAAAGTTTTGCTCATTATTATTTACAGTTGCTACTAGTTCGCCTTGAGCAAAACCCATTAAGACTGTATGAGACTAACCTGGAAAATGTTGGCAGTTCGGTGATTAATCCATCCTCAAAACCTTGTAAACATGACTTGGTTTCCAGGAGGACTTATCCTGCGTGTCCTTCAGTTCCTCCCAGAAGTCAGATAAAGTAAAGCTAGAGCTTTCCCAGGTTTGTGTATACGATGCAACAGACACTAATGTGAACGCAGCAGCATTAAACACTCCTAGTGCATTCTGACTGGGATTTTTTCCCTAAATAAAATGCATCAAATTTTATTTGAAGCGTCTTGTAGCGAATTAACTCAAATCAATATTAATTGGTTGTAATTGATTATGAGGAAATATACATTTCTATTTATTAATAACCAATATTGAGTGTTCACAGGATGAACCGAGTAATTAGTTGTAATGTTTACATAGCTGATCCAAATATTCATGATCAATTATAACCAGATTATTAATATTTCATAGAGCTTATAATATTGTCAGTATTAATATACAATGGATTCTTAACTGCTTTGAATTTGCTTTCTCAGTCATTCCTTTCTAAAAAAAAAAAAAAAAATCCATCCTTATAAATCATCCTTCGGATGTGATGTTAAACCGAGGTCCTGACTCTCTGTGGTCATTAAAAATCCCATGGCACTTTTTGTAAAGAGTAGGGGTGTAACCCCGGTGTCCTGGCCACATTCCCTCCATTGGCCCTTACCAATCATTAGAGCCAGACCGATAAAACGCCCGGCCGATATCAGGCGTTTTCCATAATATCGGTATCGGCAGTTATAATGGCCGATAAATGAATATTTAAAAAATAAAATAAAAACGGACGAAACACGCTTCAATCATCTCTCCTTGGCCTGTTATATTGAAAATGTATCTTTTACAATTTGCAGTACGATGTTATCTATTGCTAAATTATGGCTCATCATAGACTAGCTAACCACAAAGCTAGCTAATGCCACTATTATCAGTGGAAGACGCTAACGTTAACATTAATGAGCTTGGAAACCACAATGAACCTTTTCTGCCTAAATAAAGTAATGATTACTGTATTTATAACTCGCATATCTCTAGTTACAGTCCCTGCATTGTAAAATGTAAGTTATACTTGCGAGGAGTGAACATTTAGACATAGAGAAAAGGTATCAAACGTATCTTGTGCAGAAAAGTTAGCTTTTCTTTTACACGTGTGTGAAATCCAACAATATTTAATAAAAAAAAAATATCGGCCGATATATCGGAATATCGGATTTTAAAACCCAAAAATATTTGTAACGGTATCGGCCTTCAAAATCCTTTATCGGTCGGGCTCTACCAATCATGGCCTCACAATAATCCCCATCCTCTGAATTGGCTCTATCACTCTCTCTCCTCTGCACCTATATCTGGTGTGTGTGTGTGTGTGTGTGTGAGAGCGGTTGTACTGTCGTGGCTGCCGTCGATCATCATCCCAGTGGATGCTCACACTGGAGGTGGTTGAGGAGAGATCTCCAGATATGATTGTAAAGTGCTTTGGGTGTACAGTAGTAGTACACATGAAAGCGCTATATCAATGCCTCATTCATTCATCCAAACGAGACTGCAGTTATTGTTTGTTGACTTGCTTTCTCCTGAGAAAAATACCTCAGTTCTCACATGTAGGGTTTCAGACAGTAACTCAGATTTCAACTTAAAACCGTCAAATTCTTCCAAGACCAAATTATCTGAGCTGCGTACACAATATTAAAGGGGTGGTTTACTGCTTTTTTTCTTTGCATGATTGTGTTTATGGGGTGCAATATAACATGTATTTGTTTTTCTTTTTTTTAAAGTCTCATTTTTCATAAATTTCACCTTTATTGTAAGCCGCGTTCTCCTCTGTCCTTGAACGACCGGTTGACTTCCTGAGTCTATGAAACCACTCCCTCAGAAACAGGCAGTGGGCTCAGATTGGTTAGTTTGGGCCGGTGTTTGTTATTGGCTAAATTGTAATGCATGTTGTCCGGAAGGTTAACGCCCATTAGC